AACAAAATCCCAAATCCCAAAGATTAGCCATGAAGCTGTAGGTTTTTTTCCCTTGAAATAACTTAGTTTTCAGACACTAAAACTCAGCTATAAATTAATAGCATGTAAACACAGAAAGGGCTACTTAAACTGCAAAAGAGCCTCTGGAATACCCATTTACAGGTAATAGCCACATGAGCCCCAATTCATCCAGCTTCTTGTTAAAGAAAGCATTTCTGTTTGGAAACAGCATAAACTTAGACAAATCTAATAGGGTTAGCAGGGTTGGAATAGTAAATTAGATTGAGTCCAAGATCAAATTAGGATATAGATTGACAATAAATACAAAATTAGGTAGAGTATTGATTAAAAGAAATAAAAAATGTGTTTGCTAGTGTCTGTCTTATTAGCTATAATCATCTATTTTATTGTTTCGTTTCAACACAACTGTCCTACTTTGTAGTCTCGCATGTACCCTTTTTACTCAGCAGTGACACCAGCGGAAGTAAACCCTTTTACTTCTGCTAGCAGGTAGGACCCTGGCACAGCGAGGCTCCTGAGGGCAGGTGGCAGCAGTGACAGCCCCACACTGCTGTCTCTCTGAGGTTTTTTTCCTGAAAATACTTCGTTATTTACACACAGGCACCCTTTTCCTTTGCCCCTTTCCCATCTCACACGAACCAGGAAAAATTGTATGGTAAATGACTTCTCCTTCAGTAATTCATCAGGAAGAAGTTACGGGAAAGCACACCAGGCAGAGCTCTGGCAAAGTCGTAAAAGGACTGGAACACGCAGCCAGCTAGGGACAGGAACAAACTCCAAGTGGAAACTTTGAATTTCCATATTCCTTTTTGTCTGAGTACAAAGAAACTATGGTTCCATGTGAAAAGGTTAATCTGAAATCGTTACTCACCTTTTCATAAGGTAGACATTTACCCCAGTACCAAAGCCAAGCTTCTGCATAAAAGGAGAGGCAGGAATATTCACACAAGGAGTTGAGCATAATGCTGAATGTCAGAAAGAGGAGTAAAAAGTAAAATCAGTATTTGAAAAGGCCTCTACAAATGCACCCTAACATTCTCAGTGTGCAATTGGGGGGCATTAGCTGGTATGGTCTTTTTAGAGAGTAGGCTGACAGCATCGATCATAATGTTGAGTGGATACTTTCCAAACAAGTCTAGTTTTGGAGTCTCGTAGTATCACCGAAGAGGAAGCCAGCACCCAGCACGCTTTCATGAGGCTCATAAGAGTTGCTCTTACATTTGTAAAGCATTGCTAAAAATAAAGGAAACTATGCATGAGAGTCCCAATGTGGCCCATAAAGCATAAACTATTTATTATCTGGCCCTTTTACAAAGTTTGCTGATGACTGCAAATGGAATCAATTAGTATGTAAAGTACATTACTACCAAACTGGCTTTATCCCAGGAATGAAAACCATTTAACATTTGAAAATGAATGTGAATGTATCACATTATCAGAGTGATATTGAGAAAAACCTCATTCCAGTAGATTTTATAAAAGCACTTCCCAATGTTTAATACCCATTCATAATAACCAGTAATAAAAGAGAAATTCCTCCAACTGATGAAAATCACCTGTGACAAAACCTTCATCCAGCGTAATATTTCACTGGGAACAAGTATGCATAATCATTAGTCTCCTGTTCAAAATACACTGGATCCAGAGCCAGGAAAGAAGAAACACAGAGCGACAGAGACTGGGGTGCTGGGAGTGGGGTGGGGTGGAGGGAAGTAAAGCTGTTTAGCCACAACATCACAGCTATGCACAATGTTCTAAGCATTCTATAAGAAAGATCAAAGAGTAAGTGAGTTTAACTGGCTGTGAGACAGAAAGTCAAAATACAAAATCTACATACTGGAGATGAATATAGATTTTCTCCTATGTTATTTTCTAGAAATTTGACAATTCTAGCCAATTCTGTGTAGGCTGTGAGCTACGGCTAGATGTGCTAAGGATACCCAGTCGCATTATTGTCGAGGATTAGCCGTTGTCCACTGAGCTGCCTTTAAAAATTTCCTCAAGAGAACCAAGCACAGTGGGAAGGCAACATGGTTTCTTGATGGTTCAAACCAAGTTGACTTTTCAGCAGAGAGAAGCCCAAATCTGTGAGTACCAATGAAACTGGCCAGTAGATCAGCAAACCCTGACCTATAAAAAAAGCCTTCTCTGTTAAGATCAACATCATAAACACTTATGCTAAAATTATTTGTATATGACAGATACTAAAGACTTAAATGAAAACACTAAGACTTTCTAATAGCAGTAACAATGCAGAGAGGTTCTAACCGGCTACCTTACCAGATTTCTTTCTTTCAGATAACTTGCTTGGCGTCTTGAAATTACTGATTTCTTCCATTGTAGTATCACTCTAGGTCCTCTGATGAAAATAAATTGAGAAGTCAGACTGCGCTGATAAAATAATACAAGCCTCATTCATGAAGAAAAAATTCCTATATCACTCATTTATCAGATAAATATAAAATTTGGAAACTAAAAGACTGCAACAAATTTTTAGTCCAATTTTACTTACAACCTAACTTTGCATCTGAAAGAACTAGAAAAAGAACAAATAAAACCAAAATCAGAAGAAAGATGATAAATGAAACAGAAGCAAAATGATACAACTGATAGGTGAAGCCAAGTGCTGGTTCTTTGAAAGGATAAACAAACCAATAAACCCTTAGAAGAAAAGGAAAAAACCCAAATAATCAGAAAGAAAAGAGATCAAAGGACAAGACACAAAAGCTCACACAAGATTGCTAGGACCATCCATATACAAGCAAAGTAGATGAAATGGGCAAATTTTTGGAATCCACCAACTTTCAAGACTAACCCGGGCTTGTTAAGGGGCAGGGCGACGGATAGCCCAGTATCCCCAAACCTACCCGCCCCCTTTCCTGGGGACCGTCCTGTTACAGGATGAAACAGTTTGAACAGATCAGCCACAAACACATCCATTAAAAGCGTAGCCAAAACTCTTGGAAGAAAAGCCCAGGACCCCACAGCTTCACTAGCGAACTCCCAACCTCCCCAAGTTCTACTATTTACCTTTTCAAACTCTTCGGAAAAACGAAGGGGGAGGACAGCTCCCAGCAACACTTTACAGGGCCACTATTACCTGATCCTAAAGCCAGACAAGGGCTTAGGATATTTTTTTAAAGAACAGATACTATTTAAGAAGCTATTTTAAAAAATAAATGGGACCAGGCAAGCTAATTAAGAGCCGGCTAGCACCAACGTCAATGAATTCAGGAGCCTAAACCACTGGGGTAGTAAACACATAAACGGGTACCACTGGTAAAGTTAAGGGGTCGACAAACAGCGGAAAAAGGAAAAGAACAGGAGAGGGAAAAAGCAAATACAACGAGAAAAGAGAAGCAAAACAGAGAAAGGAACGAAACACTTCGATCAGGTTATTTCAGAACCCCGCACAATTTACACCTTCGGGAAGATTCCCCCCAGAGGTCAGACCCGGCACGCCCTGGACCGGAGCTGATGGACAGCTGGCGGCTGGAACCCCTCTAACGCTTAAGGAGCGCCCGGACCCGTCACTTGAACACTGGAAGCAGCGTTAGTGGAGGCACTCGGGGGCGACCGGGGCTCCCCGGTCCTTTCTGGAGCCCCCCCTCCGTCCCGCCGGACGCCCTGCACGGGTGGGCCACGGCCGGGGGAGGTGGAACTGGCCGCACCCGGCCGCAGGAACCCGGTTCACAGGTGCGGCCCCAGGCTGCGCCGCACGTCTCGGACGTCCCTAGCCCGCCTCGCTGCACCCCGCAGCGACCCCCTCAAAGCAGCCGAAGGCCAATCCGGGGCCCCAGTCGGTCTAACGGATTCTGCCAGGCTCCGCTTACGGGCCTTGTCCCCCTCGAAGCCCCGGCCCGAGCCCCAGGACTGCGCTGCGCCCTCGGGTGTGGATCCCCAAGAGGAGCCCCAAAATCGCTCGCAGCGGAAAGCCTCGTTCCCAGCGCCTGTCCCTCTAGACTCTGCCTGTGACAGCTGCAGACAGACGCCAGACCGGGGGGGGAGGGGCACGCTCGGCCCCCCGCAGGCGGCGCGCCCCGGGGCCGAGGAGAGCCCCTTACCGGATCGTGCGGCGCAGACCCACCCCGGGTACCGAGCGGTGCAGACCAAGGCCGCCTGGAAAACCTGCCCCGGCCGCCCGCGCCGCCCCCAGCCCGGCCCTGCCC